TCTCTCTCTCTCTCTCTCTCTCTCTCTCTCTCTCTCTCTCTCGAGGAATAAACAAACTGTTTGTTTTATTTTATTTATTTTTGTAGGTATCTGTGAATGGTCTGGAATTTGCTGTGTAACGTGAGCTGGCCTTAATCTCACAGATATCCTCCTGCCTCTGCTTCCCACGTGCTGGGATTAATAGCATGTACCACATGTCCAGTTTAGGGACAGTCTATTAAGGGATTAAGAAATTTTATTGAAAGAAGACTGAAGTGGGGGGAGGAACAGGAGGAGGGGTGAGAGGGTGAACTGTGGTGAGTATGTAAAATGAATAAAAAAGAAAAAGAAAAAAGAGAAAGGCTCCTATGAGTGGGAGTGGGTTAGGGAGCTGGGGAAGGACGGATACTCAAAAGCCTCTTTTTTTTCCCCCTTAAAAAATATATTTTAAGAGCAGATGTGGTAGTCCATGTCTTTATTCCCTGCACTTGGGAGGCAGAGGCAGGGGAATCTCTGTGAGCTTAAGGCTAGCCTGGTCTACAGAGTGAGTTCCAGGACAGTCAGGGCTATGTAGAGCAATCTTGTCTCAAAAACAAGCAAATTTTTTTTTTTTTTTTGGTTTTTTGAGACAGGGTTTCTCTGTGGCTTTGGAGCCTGTCCTGGAACTAGCTCTTGTAGACCAGGCTGGCCTCGAACTCACAGAGATCCACCTGCCTCTGCCTCCCAAGTGCTGGGATTAAAGGCGTGTGTCACCATCGCCCAGCCAAGCAAATATTTTTTTAAAAAATATTTAAAAATTTTTTATGTTTATGTGTGTATACTTGTGTGTATATGTACACCACATGCACACTGGTGCCTCAAGGGTCCAGGAGAGGGGGTGGCATATGCTCTACAGCTACAGTTAGAGGCGATTGTGAGCCAGCCTCTTACCCTCTAAGCCATCTCTCTAGACCCTGTTTCTCCTCTCTCTCTCTCTCTCTCTCTCTCTCTCTCTCTCTCTCTCTCTTTCTCTGTCTTTCCTTCTAGAAAGGATCTCGAGTATTCCAGGCTGGCTTCAAACTTGACACATAGTCAAGGAAGACCTTGAACCTCTGCTACTCCTGCCTCCACCTCTTGAAAGCTGTAATTAAAATGTGTGGGCTGCTATGCTAGTTTATGGGGTGCTGGAGAGGAATGAAGGGTTTCATGCATAGTAGGCAAGGACTCAACCAATCATCAAGGTACGTCCTCAGCCCCAGTTCCCTAGTAACCCAAGCCCTGGGCTCTCACGCCCTGTCCCCTTCTGCAGGAATCAGCCAGGACCTCCTTGATGACTCCAGAGCAAGGGGTCTCAATCAAACCTCTATGGTGCCTTGGATCCCTCCCTCCCTCTCTCTTCCACCCAGCCAGCAGTGTTTCCAGAAGCATCTTCAGCACACTAGGGAGTCCAAATTCACTTCTGAGCTCTGGTTTATGTTAGGGGTCAACTCTGGTCACGTGGGCATAATAGTTCCTTCAACTATTATATACTGTGTATCTACCGCTGTTCTGGACACTGAGGCAACATTGGTGAAAAAGACACACCAATCCCTGCTGTTGTGGATGTCACGGTATGGTTGGAGGGGAACAATTAGCCCATAAAGGAAACAAATAGTGCTAGGCAACAGTAGGAGGCTCATGCCTGTGAGCTCAGTACTTGGGAGGCTAAGGAAAGAGGCATAGGGAAGGACAGGCAGCCTGGACCGCAGAGACCCTACCTAAAAACGCAAAACAAAAGTTAGGTTGGTAGCTCAGTCTACTACTGATCACTACTGGTGATCCCAGTACTTGGAAGGGGACGGGGACGGGAGGGGGGGGGGTAGAAGGAGCAAGGACTTCAAGGGTCATCCTTAGTTATATAGATTGAAGGCTAACCTGGATTATATGAGACCCTATTTCAAAAGTCAAGCAAGGGGGCTAGAGAGATGACTCAGAAGTTAAGAGCATTTGCTGCTCTTTCAGAAGATTGGGATTCGTTTCTCAGCACCAACACAATAGCTCACAATTGTCTGTAACTCCAGTTCCAAAGAACCCAAAACCCTCTCATGCCTATTTGGGCACTGCACATACTTGGAGCATAGACAATGTACAGGTAAAACACATGTATGTAAATTTTTAAAAAATCAGGCCCCAGTGTGTGGTGCTCTCCTTTAATCCCAACACTCAGGAGTCAGAGGCAAGAGAATCTCTGTGAGTTCAAGGACAACCTGGGCTACATAGTGAGTTTCAAGCTAGCTTGGGCTACAAAATGAGACCCTCTCTCAAAACTGATGTGGGATTCCCCTCTGTATGCTGTGAATATGTTTTATTACCATTGGTTAATAAAGAAGCTGCTTTGGGCCTATGGCAGGGCAGAATAAAACCAAGCAAGAAACAGGAACAGAGATATAGAGAGAAAAGTAAGCAGAGCCAAAGAGACGCCATGTAGCTGCTGAAGGAGACAGACACCTGAATGCCAGAACCTTGCCTGGTAGGCCACAGCTTTGTGGTTGACACACAGATTAATAAAAATGGATTAATTCAAGATGTAGTGTTAGCTAGAAGCCAGGCAGTGGTGGCACACGCCTTTAATCCCAGCACTCGGGAGGCAGAGGCAGGCAGATCTCTGTGAGTTTGAGGCCAGCATAGTCTACAAGAGCTAGTTCCAGGACAGGAACCAAAGCTACAGAGAAACCTTGTCTTGAGGAAAAAAAAAAGAGTTAGCTAGAAATATGTGTAAGCCACTGACCAAACAGTGTTGTAATTAATACAGTTTCTGTATGTTTATTTTGGGTCTGGATGGCTGGAAAACAAACGAGCAGTCTCCTACTACACAAAACCAAACAAAAACTAATAAAACAACTCTCCTAAAAAGCATCATTTCCTTCTTTTCTTCCTTCCTTCCTTTTTTTTTCTTTCAACACAGGGTTTCTCTGTGGCTTTGGAGCCTGTCCTAGAACTTGCTCTGTAGACCAGGATGGGCTCAAACTCACAGATATCTGCCTGTCTCTACCTCCTGAGTACTGGGATC